CAGGAAAACATTTTTTGCGAGAACGGGCCTTCCCCTTATCTCAGGGTCTGGATGACCGCCCCCCCTTCCCCCCCGTCTTATCTGAAGGTCTGGATCTGCCACTGACGTCTGCATGGGAGGCTTAAAAATTGTGAACACCTTAAACATGTCAGGGATATTTATTGTATTATGACCAATGACAGCAAAGATCAGGACATGTGAATGAGCCATTAGACCACAAACTAATTACCGTTGCTGCTTATGGTTTAGTATGTCCAAGCCAGATGGGCTTTTTCCTTGAAACACATGCAATCACTTTCCAGAAATATTTGTAGTGTTCATGATCTTCTGAGTTTCACAGTAACTACTGTACATGACATTTTAACAATGTAAATTATGCATTTAATGCAAAGATGTCATTATAATAATTGTTATTTTGCATTTAAAGTCAACTAACACACCTGGGGTAATTTCATGGGAAGGACTGCAATCATTATTAGAAGAATCTGCAGTGTTTTCGACAGTTGGCTCATTTAAAATAATCAAGCCTAAGAAGAGAAATTTCTTTGTTACAAACAGTCAACAGTGTTAGCTTAAACACCTGAATGCAGGATTAAACCAGGTAAGTTATTACACCAGTAGTCTGTTCCAGGTCTTCAGATGGTGGAGAGTGGCATGAAATGTAGGGTGGAGGGAAAAAAAGAAGAAGAAAGGAAGAGGAGGGTTCCTTCACCTTCTCTCCCTACCTCCACCCACTTGCTGTTTTTTCCTTCTTTGTGATGTCCCAACCATCTCTGATCTGTACACCTGGAACAGGCTATTACACCAGCTAAAGAACAAGGCATTTATAGCACTTCTGTACTCTGTTGTTAGTTCCCAGTCATCTTGGGTACTGGGGTGCCTTTATTAGAGACTATGTAACATCATACAGTTTGCAGGACACGTGTGGAAGAGCTGAAAACTTAATTACATATTTGTGTAATAATTAAAGCAAAAGAGCAACTCAGCACCAAAAAGCGTTACAAAAGCATGTTCTAAAAAGAATAGCATCAGTTGCGAGCAGTGCAAGTATCCTATCCCAGATAAGGTGCTGGCAGTTCTGAGGGCAAAAAGGGAGGAAAACAAACTCTGGCTTTCCTGTAAACAGTTGGAAAATTCTTAAATTTACATTAATATTATAAATGTATGATGTCACATGGTTAGTAGATCAAGCCCAGGAAATTTCAAAATTTTGTCGAACTTTGTGTCATGATTCAAGCCTAAATCAGAACAATGTCAAATTTAAGTAGTTATAGACCTTTTTTACTTTTGAATAATGCCTCTTTAAGATAGAGAAACTATTTTAAGTCTTAATAAAACAAAGTAGTGCAAAGTTTGTTTCAACAGCACTTTTAACATTTTCAAACAAATTCCTATGGAGAGCAGTGTGGAAAATCTGCAAGTTGATGTTAGATTAAAGTACCCATCACCTAAATTTTCATATTTTCTTATCTGAAACTATACCTTATTGAAATAACTTCTGCGAAAAAATTTTGCTGTTTGAAGAAAACGTGAATTTTTAACCAATTTTTGAAGTTTACATTTTTGCAGTACACCCGCGCTGCCGATCACTCAAACTACCAGGCTCATATATGACGTCATGTGACGTAAATTAAGGAAGTCGTTTTACCTGTCCTTCACCAGCTGTACACAAAAAAGATCAATTAAAAGTAAGGATTGAATCAAAATGTCTTTGCAAGAAGAAAGTTTTTCTGAAACAGAAAAACCTACAAGATCTCTTAATGTTTTCCTGTTGATAAAGTCACGTTTTCCTTAAAGTACGTCATATGACGTCATAATACGAGAGAAGGCTAAGACGAATGGTGTGCCAAAATGGCGGCAAATCTGAACGTTTTTACAAAATTCTAAAAAAATCTTCTCTGGTTCAAATCGCAAAATTTTTTCGCAGAAGTTATTTTAATATGGTGTAGCTTCAGATAAGAAAATAAAAAATTTAGATGATCACAGAGAGTGGCCATGAGAAAGTATGGTTATGGTCTGTCCTCAATAAATATTGATGCTAGAAAAAAACAACATAAATTGACTGGAAATTACCTCCAACTTGCACAGAAGAGTATGCTGTCATTGAGATAACATGCTTGAGTTGTTCACAGAAGGCTTTTTCATACTCAATCATAATGTTTAGCTGCTTCATCTGTTTGTCATCATTTTTTGATCTGCATAACTCCTCAAGTCTCCTGTAAACAGAGGGAAACTCCACTGCGAGACATTTGGCATCTTTCGTCAAGAGTGAATGTCCTGCTTAATAATAAAGATGGATATACAATAAAGTTTTAAAACAAAAAAAAAACTTCTGTTTTCAGATTTACACTACAGTTGAACCTCTCTACAATGGCCACCTTGGGGACAGGAGAAAGTGGCCATTGTAGAGAGGTCTTAAACAATTTTTGTCCGCTGGGGCCGTTGTCAGGGTGCAAAGAAAGTCAATTTTACAGGATTGTCAACAGTGAGTAGCTCTGCAAAATAACATTTGGTTGTTCAACTACATGTTATGTGTGAAGCACAGCTGTGGTAGTGTAATGGAAAGTCCATGAACTTATTTTCAACCAAAAAACCAGAGGTTTGAGCCACCAGATTATCTCTGCTAGCAGGGTACAGCTTTCCTTTCTGGTCCTGGTTTCTTTCTTTTTGAGGACTGGGGTAAGACTTTACTTATTGCTTTCTCTTCACCTTTCGATCTCCTTTACCTTTTAACTCCTATTTCCAATCACTTTCAATTCACAGGGTCACTACTACTATTGTAGGAGAAACTATTATTATTAGAGCTCCCTAGTATGCAGCCATTCTGACCAGGACTCAGGAGCGCTTGAAGAACATTTGAATAGGAAGCAAGACAATGCCCTAAAAATTCCACCTCCCACGTTAAATCTGCTCAAGGCAAGTCCTTAATCAGAGTGAGATTAACATAGGGGAAAGCAAATTCAGGATTGGATCCAGAAAAAACAATTTCTGAGTAATGGAGCACTGAGACATGTGCTTCTAGAAGGTTTCAGCCATCATGTATGTAACCCTGGTAATGGCAATGGTAATGTTATGGATAAGAGCTTAACAAGGTACATTTGATATGTGTTATGCAACTTGCCTTCTTCAGAGAGGGCCCTGAGCTTTCGGACAGCATTCATAAACTCCACTCTGTCTTCATTAAATTGCATGAAGTCGTCAAAATACTTTCGTGCCCCCTGTTTTATCTCCTCCTCAGTCTCATCGAGGTACCTTCGAATTTTAACAAAACATTCTTGGACATACTCTATTGCACAAATTGTTGTGTTCCTGGCAGCATTTTCAGCCATAGCTATTTCACGGTTTAATCTGGTAATTAATTCAGAAGCAGTGTTCAGCTTTTTTTCCATAAGAGACTGAAGCTTTGGAACAGTTGTCTCTATATTGTCGATAACATGGTCAGAGAGCTCCGAAGCCTGCGAAGTCTCCTTTTTGCAAATGATACACATAGGCTGCAGTGTTGTGAGGTTAAAATAATCCAAGGTGTGCTTATGAATGCAACATATGGCTCTGAGTTCGGTGACTTTGCCATGTTGTGATTTCCTCTCATTCCCACAGTGTTCCCTGTCATAACAACTGCTACAGAACATAGCAGAACATTCTGGGCAATAAAACTCTGCTGTGTTACCATTGCAGTATTCATGGCATTGTGGTATCTGGATGTCTGTAAATGATGCTTCCATTCCCTATGTAAAACAGGCATAAAATGAGATTTCTTTGCACTGATATAATTATCCTTGAGTTCACCTCAGAGCTGTAGAGAATATGCTGGAGTTAGGGACTGAGATAATTAACAGTAAAAACCAGTGAGTAAGAACCTGGTTTTTAAAAACCTGTTAGGCTAAAATTCATCAGTTAAGGTCTCCCCATACACAAACCTGTTCAGCCTAAAATGTGAAACAGTTTCTTATTTTCTAAAATCTATAAAAAAAATCTCTAAACTTGGGCAAATAAGATTAGTCAACATTCAGGACCCTCTATAGAGACATAGGTTACCCTACCACTCCAACTGCAATGTAATGGTATGCAGATTTTATACAACGAATAAGCTGCGAATACCATTAAATACTGTTAGCTACAATATACCTTTTCTTAAGAAAGTACAAATCGATTTAAGAACCTAAATAGCTTGAATTTGTCCTAACTACCATTTATGTAAGAATCTGTTTAGGCTAACTTAGGAAAATGCAGGTTCTTACTCAAGGGTTTTTCCTGTATATTCAAATGCACATCATATCAATAACGATTCTATAATTTTTTATAACTATAGGCCATAACTTACAACCATTTTTTGGGAACGGTGGAAAATGTAAAATTGTTTGTTCAACTTTGAGAACATCGAGGCTTGTCTGTGGAGAGCAAGATTGGGTTATAAAGGTATTCCAGTGGAAACTGTAACACCGCAAAATTTAAATTAGAAACTGCAATAAAACTGATGAAAACCGAAAAACCGCGGACGTTGAGTAAAAGTAATCAAAATGGCCGGCAAATTCACGAATTACGCTCTTCAAAAGAACTTAGCCTGTTGGAAAAAACTTCGAAACCGTACGAAACTTTCATTTCAAAACCGGAAACGGAAAGAATATTCCAACACAAAACCACTTTCATTTTTCATAAAAAGCGAAAAACCGAAGATAACCCTTTCTTATTTAGAAAAACATTATAAATTTCAGAGCAGACCAAAATACAGTTTACACCACTGCAAAACCGACATGCCCCTCATGCTTACCACAGGTCTGTTCACATTTCCCAACAAGAGCAAGATGAATCGATGTTTTCAGTTTTAGCTTTGGTCAGGTTTTTTGTTTTGTCATGTGACAAAGACACATTTTCGGTCCATGATATACCACTGATCTGAGTAACCCGCGATTTTTTGCGTTTTCTAAAGTAGAATATGACAAACTTGTGCATGGTGCATACATAATAGCGGCTCTGTATTTTTGAACGTGAAAGCTGTTTTTCTTTTCATTTGGGAACAATTTCTACCCCATATCAATACCTTGTTTATTTGTTTATACGCTTGCTCAATTCTTACCTAAGCTTTAGCTACAGCACTTCAGTTTAATTCAGGACTAAGCTGAGCTAAGCTTGTATAAAAAGATCCACAGACGATGCACACTCACGTGGGTCTCCAAAAGCAGAGCTGCGCTTACACCGCTTCGCTCCTCTGTTACTACATTGTAATACATTTAAATTAGATTTATCTTTTAAAATTCTACAATAGTAAAATACTTACCGGCCGGAGGATTACAAATTCTGTGAATTTGTTCATGAAATGTCGCTACTATTTGAACTGGAAGGATCGTTACGAAATCTGTGAATGTTGTTACTACACTCGACCCAATCCTCTTTTTTCGCATATTGCGTAATCCTCACGTGTCACGTGGTAGGACTATGAGAGATTCCCGAGCAGGGTATTTTGCCTTGCTCCTGACATGGGTCATTTTTTTCTTCGCAAAGCTGCAAATACACCACGGTGGGGCTAGTCGATGCCCAATCATAGGGACAAGGCAAAGTTGAGGTCTTGAAAAAAGAGAAAATCGCAGATCCGTGCCATAAATGAATGAAAACAAACCTGACAGAGTGCTCTGTGCTATAATTGGCAAAGAAAACTAACAACCTGAGAGTTTTCTCTATATCTCGGATGGCCAACCCGTCTTTCTTCGAGGAGCAATAGGAGCAACATAGCTCGGCCTTCTGAAGACACTACTACTTCTTCTGAAGACTTCTTCTGAGGAGTGGCACTTTATGTTAAAATACCGTAAAATTCCGAAAATAAGCCCCAGGGATTATATTTTTCAAAGGCCCTTTTTGAAGGGCTTATTTTTGGAGGGGCTTATATTCGGAGGGTCTTATCTACGGAGGAAAATTTGCGTTTCAAAATCGATTGGGCTAGCCTTATAGGTGGAAGGAAATTTACCGTTTTTGCTTTGTTTTACTTTGTATTTGAGGGCAATTTCCAAGTACAACCACCTGGGGGAGGGGGGGGGGGTGGCTTATATTTGGAGGGGCGATTTAACGGAGGGTTTTTGCGTGACGGGTTTGGGGGCTTATACATGGAGGGGCTTATTTTCGGAATTTTACGGTAACACCTCCGTTGTTTGTGAGTGAGGGTTTAAAGGGGGAATGTGTTGGAGGAATAAAGAATTGAGGCAATTGAATGATAGGAGCATAGTATTTATATTCCTTTATATTTTTTTTTTTTTTTTTTTTTTGTTGTTGAGTATATGGTGGGTAGATTGGGGAGGGGGGGGGGGGGGGGGGGGGGGGGGGGGTGGCTTATATTTGGAGGGGCGATTTAACGGAGGGTTTTTGCGTGACGAGTTTGGGGGCTTATACATGGAGGGGCTTATTTTCGGAATTTTACGGTAACACCTCCGGTGGCAATCTTCGTAGCCCGTGACAATTTCTCTTTTCACTCTTAAACAGGGCTGCCTGTGGCGCAGCCCAGTTTATAGCATACGTTCCATTTTTTTCTCGGGGGGTATTTCAGGGAAGTCGTAGTGGGGGTGCATCGTCCGACTCTCCTAATCTTTACACTATTTCAGGGCAATATCTATAAGGTTAATTCAAGAGAGTACCCCCCCCCGGGATTTATGTCGCGACAACGGACAACTCTATGATGGCTTGACATGATGTGCTTACCCATGTTAAGAGAAGGCAGCCATTAAATGAAGATGTGTTTGACGCTAGCGGACTGCGATTTCTCATCGTCTCCTTCAAAAGATCCTACGATGTGTACCTTTTGGGGTATTTCTTCACTATTTGTTGAAGTTTCAACCTTTGGATGATTTTTTCCCTTCCAAAACGTGATTGCAAATCTCTCTGTGTCTGTGGCTAGAGTGTGTGTGTACATGATCCATTGAATAAAAACGTCTCTCAAGCTCAGCCTAGTCCCTAAGCGTTCTCTCTTGATCCGTTGTCCGCGCGAAGTCTGGGAGAGAGCGGAAAGAGGACGGCGAGTGTCTCTCGGTGACGTCACAGCTCATGGTAGAGTCCAGGAATGACCGAGCCAAAAACGCCTGGGGACTAGGCTGTCTTAAGCTATCATTTGCACTTTTTATCAGTGCCACTTTCAAAGATGGTAGGATGGGTCGCTTTAAAGTTTTCCCTTCTCTTTTATGTTGAAGTTTAAATAGTTTAAAATGTGACAGCCAATGTCTCTTTTTATCTTATTGCTATTCTCGCTTTGCGTGTGAAAGGTCATTCCGTACAGGAAAGGAATGTCCTGGGGAATGTGCTCTGTTGTAGATCACCACGTCAAAAAAATATACAAATATATATACAAATATTCAGTAAGACAGTTAGAAAGGCTTCATGATGACGCAATATCAGACAAAAACAAAACTTAAATTTAATTTGCTTTGTTAGTTTTAAGAACCAGAATTGAGAAATGTACTGCTTGTTATTAACAGCGTTTTATGACCCGTAGAACAATAATTTTTGGAATTACCGGTTGGGTCAAATTGGTCACACTATGTTTGGGGGGGGGTGGGGGTGGAGGGCAGAGGGATTGGGGAAGGGGTGCGTGAAAATAACGCTTCTTGTTTCTTGCTTACAATGGCTCACTTGCTCATTCGTATTCATAATGGTGGAATTTGAAAAGGTACTTTACAGCCCCGACTTAAAAATGGTACTCATTTTCTTTGTTACGAAAGTCTCCCAAAAGGGTACTATGTTCAAATGAGATGCTATGTTACGCAATGGTCAACGACAAGCCTGGTGGCCTGAGTGAGTGCAGCCACCCTCTCCCCCAGGAAATTTGGTAGCCCAGTGAAAATCGTCTTTTGGCGATTCTTGTTTTAAGGTTGAAAATCGCTCCGATTTATTGTAAAATTCATTTGTAACATTCATTCTTTCATTCAACTGAGAAGAAAGTGCTGCCTTTGTAATGACGTCTGCAAACGGTTAGACTTTCTAGTCTTCTCGGATAAGGACGAAAAACCGTGGGTCCTATCTCACAGCACTTACACTTATCTGGTTCTTGTGGGACGTAAAAGAACCCACACCACTGTTCGAAAAGAGTAGGGGACGTAGACCCCGGTGTTGTGGTCAACCTTCACTCATCACACCATTCACATCATGGGTTGGGTGGGTTCAGTAAGCTCATAAATGGACTGAGAACGGCTGCCAGTGGCGCCTTTGTACTCTAACTTCCGAGCTTACTGTTCACATGTGAAAATGTTTTGTAAGAGGGCACGTCTGTTGTCCTCTCATCCACGACTCTTCATTTCTCTCTTCATTTTCATAGAAATATTTTTTATTATTTCAATAATCCTCTAACACAGTCGCTGCGAAAACACTTTATAGGAAAGCGAGCACCTACGGTGGACATAGTTCGCGGATTTTTTACGATACTCTCGATAGATCCGCTCTTTTTTTTCTGTTATCCTTGCTAGCGTACACGAGAGTCCCTATTGTTTCAATATTCTTAGTATGACAATATGCGTTTTACTTTTACTAAACGCTAATAAATGTTCTTGTTATTCAGTGAAGTGCAGTGCGTTAAATGATTCCTTTGTTCTTATGTCACCAGGTAGTTCAAATATGGAATAATGGATTCCAACCTTAACAGTCAGTTGAGACCAAAGAGTCATAATATACGCACTGTCGCACAGCAAATGCTTATTACAACGGTGGCGCAAGCCGGAAAAAAGTAAACCCTTGGATATGCGGCAGAAAA